TATATATATATATATAAAGAAAACTCAACCAGAGCTAAAGGCATTGATTAACTCAGAGCCCACTCAAACCCAGAAAAATTTGAAAGCCTGGTGCCTGGGGAATATGTGACTTCCTTTTACTTCGGAAAGACAGTATCTCAAACAGGAAAGCAATATCTCCTGGGTATGGAAAATGCTTAGAAAATACCTGGGTGCTTTCAGTGACCGGGGGGGAGATGTGGTTTCTGAGCTGGGTCACTGCTGATGACTGCCTGGTGTAGGGCAAGCCCATCGTGCCCCTGGATCCAGAAAGGGCTGATTTAGGAGTTACAATCAGGAAAGAGCTCCCCTGGTGGCTGACATGGTAAAGAATCTGCCCTCAATGCAGAAGACCCAAGTCTGACTGCTGTGTCAGGAAGACCCCCTGGAGGAGGGCATGGCTGCCCACTCCACTGTTTTTGCCTGGAGAATCCCACGCACAGAGGAGCCTGGTGGGCTAGTCTGTGGAGTCACAAAGAGTCAGACATGACGGAGCAGCTAACACACAGTCAGGAAGTGACGCTCATGTTTTCATTTGAAAAGTGCTGAAAATTCACTTTAGATACACAAATGTGACTTTTCCAACCCCTCAGATATTCTGTACCCACAAGGCATTCTTCCTCAGTCCTTTCCTACATCAGTCAGAAGTTGAATGAATCACCAATGGCACCAGAATGAGAAGCTCAGGATACAGAGCCCTTTGGCTCATTCTTACCAGAACCTGAAGCCTAGGAAGCGCTACACTGCTCTCATCAGCCATCACTGAGACATATATGGGGAGGGGAGATAAATTAGGAGTGTGGGATCAACATACACTCTCTCTACAGTCACTAAGTCGTGTCCGACTCTTGCATAGATTGTAGCCCACCAGGCTCCTTTGTCCATGGGATTCTCCAGGCAAGAATACTGGAGTGAGTTGCCATTTCCTTCTCCAGGGGATCTTCGCGACCCAGGAATTGAACCCAGGTCTCCTGCGTTGCAGGCAGATTCTTTACCAACTGAGCTATGAATGAAAGTGAAAGTGAAGCTGCTCAGTCGTGTCCGACTCTCTGCGACCCCATGGCCTGTAGCTCACCAGAATCCACGGGATTCTCCAGGCAAGAACACTGGAGTGGGTTGCCATTTCCTTCTCCAGAGGACATTTCCAGGAACACCAGAGGGTGTTCCTGACCCAGGGATCGAATCTGGGTCTCCTGCATTATAGGCAGCCGCTTCACCGTCTGAGCCTCCAGGGAAGCCCTAATACTATAAACAGATAAAACAGATAAGCACGAAGATCTCCTCCATAGCACAGGGAACTCTACGCGATGTTATGTAATAACCTAAAAGGGAAAGAATCTGAAGAACACATATGCACAACTGAACAATGTGCTGTACATCTGGAACTAGCACAGTATTGTGAATCAACTGTGCTCCGGTAAATAAATAAAAATCAACTACGCTCCAAAAAATAAATGAATGAGAAATGTTTATTGTGTTCCTGGAGTCGCTCTAAATGCTAAAAGTCTTCCACGAGCTCCTGACGTAACTGAGGATTGCCATGTTAGAAAGAGACAAGTAAGGACTTTTCCTAAGACTGTGTCTCCACTGCTGGAGACACAGGTTCACTCCCTGATTGGGGAACTAACAGCTTGCATTATAAGAATGAAATTAGAGGCAACTTTCTCTCGGAGTTCACCCATGTGTATATCCACATGTACCCCCTTTCCTCCTAAGAAATACTTTGTTTCACTCAAAAAAAAAAAAAAAAAGAAATTAGAACACTCCCTAACACCATATACAAAAACAAACTCCTAATGGATTAAAGACCGAAATGCAAGGCCGCATACTATAGAATTCTTAGAGGAAAACATAGGCAGAACACTCTCTGACACAAATTGCAGCAATATCTTTTTTGACCCACCTCTTAAAGTAATAAAAATAGAAAAAATGAACAAATGGAACCTAATTAAACCCAAAAGCTTTTGTCCAGCAAGTGAAACCATAAACAAAATGAAAAAACAACCTATAGAATGGAAGAAAATATTTGCAAAGAGATGGACAAGGGATAAATTTCCCAAATATACAAACAGCTCATGCAGCTCAATAAAAAACAAAAAACACAATCAAAAAATGGGCAGAAGATCTAAACAGACGTTTCTCCAAAGAAGACATGCAGATGGACAACAAACACATGAAAAGATGCTCAACATCACTGAGTACTAGAGAAATGCAAATCAAAACTACAGTGAAGTATCCCCTCACACCCGGCAGAATGACCATCATCAATCTACAAGCAATAAAAGCTGGAGAGGGTGTGGAGAAAAAGGAACCCTCTTACACTGTTGGTGGGAATGTAAACTGGTGCAGCCACAATGGAGAACAGTGTGGAGGCTCCTTAAAAAACTAAGAATGACCTGTTTGGGAAAAGCATCTTGTGAACGTGTTTGGAAATCAGTGATTCTTAGAAGGTGGCTCCTCTCTACAGATCTCTACAGATCCTGCATTTCAGTTGCGACATTTCCAGCCTCCAGCGAACCCTTCTCCATTCAGACTGGCCCCCAGAATCCAAACTGGCTCTGGCTAGTCTATCCTATTACTGTTTGGTCTGAATTCAGTGGGTTTTTTGTACACAGACTCCCTCAGTTTGTCTCAAGTCTGAAGTCAAGGGGAGATTCTGTCAGCAACCAAGGACTTCTCTTTAGCCCTGAGTGGCATGTTTTTCCTCCAATTTCAGGGTTTGTCCCTAAACTTTTGCTCCTAAGTGTATAGATTGTCTAACTGTTGGGTACATTGTGCAGTGTTAAATACATTGCACCCTTAAAGCTATACATCCATTTTATCTTTATTTCAAAAATCTGAGCACATGGCTAGCAGATACTTGAATTCATTGTTGGTGAAATTTAAATGTTAATAAAATAGCATATTCCCCTCACCAAAAAAATAACTAGAAGTAGAGCTACCATATGATCCAGCATATGGATCTCCTGGGCATATACCTGGAGAAAACCGTAATTTGAAAAGACCCATGGCACCCCAGTATTCATTGCAGCACTGTCTGCAAGAGCCAGGACATGGAAGCAACCCAAATGTCCACCGACAGAGTACTGGATAAAGAAGAAGGGGTACACATATACCATAAAAAAGAATGAGATAATGCCATTTGCAGCTACATGGATGGACCTAGAGACTATCATACTGAGTGAAGTGAGTCAGAGAAGGACAAATATCACGATATCATCTACATGTGAAATCTAAAAAAATGGTACAAATGAACCTATTTACAAAACAGAAACAGAGTTACAGACGTAGAAAATAATCTTATGGTTACCAGGAGAGACGGGGGCAGGGATAAACTGGGAGACTGCAATTAACATATACACACTATTATATATAAAATTTTGAGCATTACTTTACTAGCATGTGAGATGAGTGCAATTGTGTGGTTGTTTGAGCATTCTTTGGCATTGCCTTTCTTTGGGATTGGAATGAAAACTGACTTTTTCCAGTCCTGTGGCCACTGCTGAGTTTTCCAAATAATATAGATAACTAATAAGGATCTACTGTATAGCACAAGGAACTCATTATTCTGTTATGATCTATGTTGGAAAAGAATCTAAAAAAGAGTGGATATATGTGTATATAACTGATTCACTTTGCTGCCCAGCAGAAAGTAACAGAACACTAAGTCAGCTATGCTCCAATAAACATTTTTTAAAAAAGGTGGGGGGGAGAAAGAGGTACTTTTTCATATAAGTACCTTGTGTTCACAGATTGTACTGGAGAGCAATTGTTCTGAGGTGTGAAGGAACGTTCTCCCCATATGTAGTTTGCTGCCCAGGGCAAAACGTAATTTTTTTGCTTTTCAAGTCTCTGCATATTTCTCTATTTCTGGTCCCATTTCTTAAATTTATTTTTTAATTGGAGTATGATTGCTTACAATGCTGTGTTGGTTTCTGCCACACAAAAGCATGAATCATCTGGTCCCATTTTTCTTGACAGGAAATCTCGCAACTCTAAAGTCAGCATTGCTTTCAGTGAACAAAGATAACAATAGCTACTATTTATTGAGGAGTTATTATTTTATTTAAGCACTATAAGAAAACCAAAGAAGGGAATGCCTTTCCCATTTTGCAAACACAGAAACTGAGGCTCAGATAATTCAAGCACCTGGAGTAAGTTCACAAAGTTTGAAAAACAGGTCTGGAATTCCAACCTTTGTATATCTGAACTCAGGTCTACGGGATCTCTACCTCTGCAAAAAAAAAGAAAAATTCTTAATAGAGAACTGACACAAATTCTGATAAGTCAGTCCCTTGAACTTTGCCTCTCTAGGCTAAATACACGCCTTCAATCCATCTTTTTAAGATTTGTTTAGAGACACCGTCTCCACTGGTCACTGTCTTCGAGACCTACTTGAGTTCATCGAAGGTCTTACTGGGGCCAGAAAAAACACAGTGCTCCAGCTGTGTCTAAGGTGAGCAGGAAGGATTCCTGACCTCCCTTGGAGGAGACGCTCTGCTGGGAAACGATCAAGGCTGAGTTCAGAGCACAGCCCTCTGCGTGAGGGTTCCCACACACAGGAGAGCTCAGCCCCGCATCACCACCGCAGCCGAGATGTGAACATTTAGACCTCGGCTGTCATACGGCTCCGCGTTCAGCACGCCTCTGTGCTCTTTCTGAACACAGGATACCCGAGCAGGTCTTCCTGCGGCCTCGACCCCCGTGCAGTCCCCCCGGGGGGACACGCTGGACGCTCGACGGCCCTGGCTTGCTCTGCTCCGGGCCCTGCTCCTGCTGAGGCCCCGCGGCCGCAGTGTCACACTGGGGGGAGAGAGCAGGGCAAACAGCCTGCACTCCCTTCTCTCTCCAGCTGCGGCTCTTTCACCTCTCCCCACCCTAAACGGCGGACTCTAAAATGATGGTACTTTCCCCACAGCACGCCACTCCTTTTTCAGTTCTTATTATGTTTGTTACTTCTAAACAAACAAACAGGAGGGTGGGAGAAGTAAATCTCTGGCAAAAACGTGAAAACATGAGCGTGATTAAGAAAGTGTCAGGTTCAGCAGAGCAAACCCACATCCTCTTCTACACGACCTCGCCTGGTGGCCCCGTCCCAGCAATTTCTGCCTCCCCTGGCTCATGTTACGTGACCCTTGCGGACAGGGACCTTTGTCTAGAAAATCACACCTCTACCACGCTGCATCGTCAAATGCTACCTTTGTTTGGGTTCGTGCTAACATTATCCGAA